TGGTTGGGTAACCGGAGCCTGAAAGCCACTGGGTTGACCTGTTGAATGACCTCAAAGGGACCCAACCTCCTGGGTCGTAATTTCTTACAACCTCCTTTGAACGGCAACCCTCGGGTTGACAGCCACACCCTATCTCCAACCCTTATGGTTTCACCTTCCCTTCGGTTCTTGTCTGCCTGCCTCTTGTATTCTTCCTTCGCCCTTTCTAAGTTGAGTTGGAGCTGACGGTGGATTGCTTCCATTTCTTCTACAAAATGCTCGGCTGCCGGTACGCTCCATCTCTCCCCTTCTCCCCTGGGAAAGCCCTGGGATGACACCCATAATTAGCCAAGAAGGGGCTCATCCCTGTGGACACATTCTCGGCATTGTTGTAGGCAAATTCCGCCAGCGCCAACTTTTCTACCCAGTCATTCTCTCTGTCATTGACATAACACCTCAGGTATTGCTGGAGGACACCGTTTGCTCTTTCCGCCTGCCCGTTGGTTTCCAGGGTGCCGGGCAGTCGAAAAGTTGACCTCCACCTGCAGTAAGCTCATGAGCTTCCTCCAGAACCTGGAAGTAAATTGTTTTCCTCGGTCTGAGACCACCCTCAATGGCACCCCGTGCAACCTAAAAATGTGTTCTACAAATAACTTCGCTGTCTCTTCCGCCGTGACTGCATGCGAGCAAGCTACAAAGTGGCACATCTTTGTTAGTAGGTCTACCACCACCATGATGGCTGTTTTCCCTTTGGACTTCGGCAGATCAGTCATAAAATCTATCGACACTGCCTCCCAAGGTCGTTCTGGTGTTGGTAAGGGTTCTAATAGCCCCGCCGGCGCCCGCCTTTCCCCTTTGGCTCGCTGGCACTGCTCGCACCCTCTTACATACTCACGTACATCCTCCCTCACCTTAGGCCACCAAAATTCCCTGGTGACCAACCACATGGTTTTGTGTTGCCCAAAATGCCCCGCCGTGGGGCTGTCATGCAACTGCTTGAGTACCCTCCCCTTAAGTCTCCTTCAGGGATATACAGTGCCCCTTTGTAATACAAAGCTCCATTTCTTTCCTCGAAACCCCTTGATTCCTCTCCCTCATCCCTAAGACCTCTGAGCTTATTCTGGGCGTATTCATCATTCTCTGTTTCTTCTACCAGTTCTCTTTGTCCCACCAATGCCGCCCCACACACCCAGCGGTCCTCTGGAATGACATGTCTCTCTTCGGGTGCTCCCTCCCCTCCCAATATTCAGGTTTGCGTGAGAGAGCGTCCGCCCTAATGTTCTCTGGGCCTGGCACGTAACAAATCTCAAAGTTAAATTTGGAGAATTCCTGGGCCCATCTCACTTGCCGTTGGTTGAGCACTCGTGCCGTCCTCCAATACTCTAGGTTCTTGTGGTCAGTGCACACTTGCACCTTATGTTGTGCGCCAATTAGCAGGTGCCTCCATCTCCGGAACGCCTCATGAATGGCTAGTAGTTCTCGGTCATACACCGTGTAGTTCCTCTCGGATTTGTTCAGCTTTCGCGGAAAAAAAGCACACGGTCTCCACTCTGACTCCTCCTTCCCTGGCTGGAGAAGCACCGCCCCAACCGCTCTGTCTGATGCGTCAGTTTCCACTCTCATCGGTTTTTGTAAATCCACATGCAGGAGCTGTTGTTCCGAGGCGAAGGCCCTTTTAGTTCCTCAAATGCTTGCTCCGCCTCCTCCGTCCAAACGAACTTCTTCTTACTGCTGAGACAGTCCGTAATGGGCGCCGTCAGGTGGGCAAAGTTTGGGATGAACTTACGATAGAAGTTCCCAAACCCTAAAAACCTCTGCACATCCTTCCTTGTTTTGGGTGTTTTCCATTCCAGTACCGCCTGGACCTTGCCGGGATCCATGGCCAACCCCTTGTCAGACAGGCGATACCCCAGGAATTCCACCTCCTTGGTATGAAACTGACACTTCTCCAGTTTCACCCACAGCTGGTTGGCTTGCAGCCTGCTCAACACTTCTCTGACGTCTCTCACATGCTGCTCCTCATTCTCAGAATACACCAACACGTCGTCTAAGAAGGCCACACAATTCTTGTAAAGCAACGGCCCCAGGACGTGGTTCATAAACGATTGAAATGTTGCGGAGCCTGCTTGTAGACCGAAGGGCATAACTAAGTATTCAAATGCCCCTAAAGGGGTGAACATGGTGGTTTTCCATTCATCCCCCTTCCTTATTCGTATCAGGTTGTACGCCCCCTTAGATCCAGCTTGGTGAAAATCTTTCCTTTCGTACCCTTGTCAAAATGTCGTCAATCCTGGGCATCGGGAAGGCCACTGGTTCTGACACTGCATTTAAGGCCCTGAAGTCACACACCAGTCTCGGCTTGTTCGTGTTTTTTTGTCCACAAAAACACTGGGCTGCCCCCACCGCCCTGGACTCTCTGATGAACCCTCTCTTCAGGTTCTTGTCAATGAACTCTCTTAGCTCCTGCATCTCTCTGTCTGACATGGCGTACAGCTTGCCCACAGGGAGCTGTGCCCCAGGGAGCAAATTGATTTGACAGTCAAAGGCTCTATGCGGTGGTAGTTGGTCAGCTTCCCTTTCGCTGAAGACGTCGCGGAGATCTGCGTATTGTCGTGGTACCTTCACGTTCTCCTTCACTTCAGTCCCTGCTAGGGTGGCTTGGGCCCCTGCCAAAACCTTTCCTCTTTGCAATGTTCTAAGCAATGTGCTGACCCAAAAGAAACCACTCTCTGATGCCAGCCCACCAGCGGATCATGTAACGCTAGCCAGCTCATCCCCAATATAATGGGAGCTCCTCCCAAGGTGGCCACATTAAAAGCTATCAGTTCAGTGTGCCTTGCCACCTTCATTATCATTGGGACGGTCTGCAAGCTGACTTCTCCTCCCAACAGCTCCCTGCCATCGATCGTGGTTACCTGCAGGGGGTTGCTTAAAGGGAGCGTCTGTATCTGGTGTTCAGCTGCAAACTCTTTGCTCATGAAATTGCAGGAGCTGCCTGAGTCCAACAGCGCCTTTATCTTTAGAGGGTGTCCGTTTGGGAGCTCTAGTGTCACTTCTATCACTAGGGCGGGTTTAGGAGGTTCTGGAGTGGGCACTTTCACTGCTCTTTGGCCTGGCTGCTGTGCCCCGACAATGGCAGCCAGGCGTTGGCTTTTAGTTGCTCCGGTATTTTTCCTCTCTTCCCTCCACAGCTCCCACCATCCCTTGCCATTCCTTCCTCTGGGGGCAGACTCTGGCAAAGTGCCCTGGCTGTTGGCAGAGATAGCATTTCCGGGCGCCTTTTCCATCCTTCTTTCCCCTCACTGGGCTTTGAAACTGCGCGCGCGCGCTGTTCCGATTTACAGCGCCTCTGCCGGCGGGCCAGTTGGCTCTGGAATGTCTGGAATGCGGAACTCCTTCCAACGTTCCCCTTCCCTTCCCGCCTCTCCAATGCTCTCGCCTCCTGGCGCGCCTCCTATGGCCAGCGCTGATTTGGTCAGCTGGTCCATAGACTCCGCCCTGGGCGCCCGGGAAAGTTCATCTTTCACAGCCGAAGAAAGCCCTTCTTCAAAGAGCATTTGAATGGGTTCCGCCGATAAGTCCCACCCCAATCTGTGTATCAGCATGGTGAACTCAGTCCAGTACTCACGTACAGATCGGCTCCCCTGTTTGCAAGCCATTAACTGTCTGCGCACCACTCCCTTTTCAATATCGCTGGAAAACATCAGATCCATGGCGCGAAAGAACTTCATCGTGTCTTTTAAGACGTCACTATTCGCTGCCATCAGGGGTCTAACCCAGTCTCTCGCCCCTTTTCAAGATGCCCAATCACAAAAGCCACTCGTGATTCCTCATCAGGGAAATCATCAAACTGCAGATTGAGGGCATATTGCATTTCTGTCCGAAAGCTATGATAGTCTTTGGGCTCCCCCCCAAATTTTTGCACCAATCCTGGTACCTTTCTGGCGAGCTGGGTGGCTTTCTCCCTTTGTCTGCATCTTGAGCCCTCCTCTCCTCCAGCCTCGCCGTCTGCAGCGCCAGCTGGACCTCTAACACCCGGTACCTTTCTTCCAGGCTTGGACCCGCTCCAGCCCCTGCTTCTCCGGTTCCTGCTGGGTTGCTCATTATTATGCCGTCTCCTGCACAAGCTGCGTTCAAAGACTGTCGGAATGCTGTGATGGGATTATGAGCTGCTTGTGCGTAAAATCGTATTCCCTCAGAGTTTGTTCAAGTCCACAAACCTCTGTCTGTGACTGAGCCCTCTGACATGGCTCCTCTTAGTCACTAGAAGATTCCGACAGTGGTTGCTTTCGTAATCGCTTCCAACATAAAGCTCCTTAACGGAAACACGTCTTCTGGACTCTCTGCGTGACAGTTTCCGGCGAGGAGTGGGTGTCGCTACAGGAGGTCCGGAAACCTCACCACTGTTTTCGCTGGAAGTATCTCTGAGCCATCCCCCAGCTCCCTTTCCCTCAGTTCAGCTTGTCTCCCCTGCTGGTTTCCTCTTCCGCTGCTGAGTCTCTTCCAACCTGTCTGAGCCCTTTCACCTCCCTCAGTTCAGCTTCTCTCCCCTTGCTGGTTCCCTCTTCAGCTGCTGAATCTCTTCCAGCCTGTCTGAGTCCTTTCACCTCCCTTCCTTCCGATGGCAGTTCCCTGACAGGAGAGGTGTGGCCAAGTGAGAGTCCCAAGGCCAGACATATAGGCCAGAACCAAAAAGAGATTGCACACAAACACACACTTATAGATTAAAAAAATTCCTTCCAGTAGCACCTTAGAGACCAACTACCGTATATTTTGCTCCATAAGACACACCTAGTTTTTAGAGGGGGAATGCAAGAAAAAAAAAATATTATTTAACGGGAGCGCTGAGCAGAGCCTGTATGCATCCCAGGCTCTGCTCAGCGCTCCCGTTTAAGAGCCGCGCGGAGCGTGTGTGCGGCTCTTGGGGGCTTTTCCCCAAGGAGGGAGAAGGGCTTTTCCTTGAGGTGGGGGAAGGGACTGAGGGGCTATCCCAGAAGCTAGAACAGCAAGAGAGAGCGCTGCCTCTCGCTGTTCTGGCTTCTGGGATAACCGCGCGAAGCCTCCTCAGGGCAGTGGGATGAAGGTTCCCGCTGCCCTGAGGAGGCTTCGCGCAGCTAAGCCAGAAGCTAGAACAGCAAGAGGAAGCGCTGCACAGCGCTCCCTCTTGCTGTTCTGGCTTCTGGGATAGCTACACAGCCTGCATTCGCTCCATAAGACGCACCACATTTCCCCTTACTTTTTAGGAGGGGAAAAGTGCGTCTGTCAGGGGTTCAGGGAGAGAGGCACAGGGTAGGCAGGAGATGGAGAGCGATGGGGAGGAATTCCAAGCCAGCGAGGAAGAGGATGACAATGACTCAAGAGATTCCATGAGTCTTTCCAGCGAATCAGAGGATTCCCAGAAGGGGGCGCCGGTGGTCAAGGCCAGGGTGGCCCCAGATGCGGGGAGAAGTCGCGGATTACGTCGCCAGGTGTGACACTTGTCAGAGGTCCAAGCCAGTGCACAAGAAGCCAGCGGGATTGCTGGAACCGTTGGAGACGCCACTGCAGCCGTGGGAAAGGGTGGCGCTGGACTTTGTCACTGATCTGCCCAGTTCGCGGGGCAAGACGGCGGTGCTTGTGGTTGTAGATCTGTTCACCAAGATGGCGCATTTCATTCCTTGCGCGAAGGTGGCAACAGCGGAGCAGACCGCCAGGCTATTCATAGACCACGTGTTCCGGGTGCACGGCTTACCACGGTCCATTTTGTCCGTCGCCAATTCATTTCCAGTTTCTGGCAGAAGCTCCTGGGCATCCTGAATGTCAAGATCAACTTAGCGTCGGCGAGACACCCGCAAACCAACGGCCAAGCGGAGAGGGTCAACGCCATCATGCAGCAGTACCTGCGCTGTTACGCCAATCAGAAGCCGGCAACTTGGGTGGACTACTTACCGATGGCCGAGTTTGCCTACAACAACACGAAGCACGCGTCAACGGGGGTGACACCGTTCTTCGCCAACAATGGGCGACATCCCAGAACATTCCCGGCGTTGGAGACAACGACGCAGGGGGAGTCGCAGGGAGCGGAACATTTAGCAGCAGAATTGCAGGAGGTCCACAAGGAGCTACGACAGCACTTGGAACTGGCTAAACACGCCTACAAAGTGCAGGCAGACAGGCACAGGAGGGCAGGAGAAGACATCCAGGTGGGGGACTGGGTATGGTTAGCAGCCCAGGCGGTGCCGGCCAAGTCGTTAGCTAAGAAGAAGCTAGGACACAAACAGCTAGGGCCATACCAAGTTGAGGGCAGGATCAATCCCGTAGCTTTCGGTTGACCCTCCCAGAGGATTCCCGAATGCACCCGGTCTTTCATAGGTCGGTGCTTACACCCTACAAGGCCCCACACAGATTTCAGGAGCCAGGGACGGCACCAGACCCACGTAGGAAGTCACCAGGGGGGGGGGAGTCACCGAGGACCCCGACACTCAACGAGGTCACGGAAATTCTGGACTCGAGATGGGGGGAGGAGGGAGTGGAATACCTCCTCGCCAGGGAGGTACCCCGGCCAGCGCCAACAGTTGGGTGCCAGATTATGCTCTGGAGGAACCTTTGCTTAAGGACGAGTTCCATGCACTCTTCCCACACAGGCCCATGCCAGAGGAGTATTTTGACGACTGGCTTTTACCCCACACTTTCAGGCAGCACCTTCCGGGGTTCTCCTCCGCAGAGGAGACCACGCCGCAATCGAGCCCTCCAAGGGGATCGTGCTCGGGGGTGGACACGGACCGCTCTTATTGGTGGGACGATCAACCAGAAGTGGGGTGGCGAAGGGGGCCTTGGCAAGCAGCTTCGCCTGAAGTAACAGGGGGAGGGAAGGGTTTGGAGGTGTTGGGGGAGGACCCCGGTTTCGAGCACTCCTACACTGAACTGGAAGCAGAGGAGATCGACGTCGACGAACTGTATCCAGCATCTACCCCCGCTACAACGAAGCTCCCGGAACCTGCGCCCGAGCAGCGGGAGGGGGGACGGGGCTTCGAGGGGGATGGATGTCAGGGGTTCAGGGAGAGAGGCACAGGGTAGGCAGGAGATGGAGAGCGATGGGGAGGAATTCCAAGCCAGCGAGGAAGAGGATGACAATGACTCAAGAGATTCCATGAGTCTTTCCAGCGAATCAGAGGATTCCCAGAAGGGGCGCCGGTGGTCAAGGCCAGGAGCCCCAGGGGGGAAGTGTCAGGAGCAGGGTGCCAGCGGAGGATCCCAAAGTGGCAGCTGGGCGTCAGGACCAGCCTCCCCACCAGAGTGCAGCGAAGGGGGTGGAGTTTCCAGTGTGTCAGAGGAAGCAGCTCCGGCAGCAGAGAAAGGAGGGAGGTCAGAGCAAGCCGCCCTCCCGGAAGGGGAAGGGAGCAGTGAAGGGAGTAGTGTAACTGTCAAAAGGAAAGTTAGAGGTTTGGCGCGCGCGCCTAGTTCAAATGTAGAGGCGCGCGGAAGTACAGGGAGCCCGGAGGAGGGGCCAGGTCCCAAAGCCCGCAGGAGGGGGGAGAGCAGTCTGATTCCGCGTCAGAGGAATCCAGGAGGGGCGAAACCCCAGCGGGCAGAAGGACCCTGCGGAAAAGGAAGGAGAGAAAGAGGTGGAGCAGCGCAAGTCTCTTAAATTGGTGCAGGGGAGGGACTGACTCAGAGGGGACTTCAGCGGTCTAGCGTAAGAGACGTAAGGCTGCGCGCCTAGGATGTCAAGCAAACCATGAACTGCAATAAACACCTTTGTATATAAGAAGACATAGGCGTTGGTCTTTTGTGAGCTGAGACTTGAGGCAGCCTTGACAGCGTCTTATAGAGCGAAAAATACGGTAGGTTTGTTATTCGTATGAGCTTTCGTGTGCATGCACAATTCTTCAGATATCTGAAGAAGTATCTGAAGAAGGGTGCATGGACACAAAAGCTCATACTAATAACAAACTTAGCTGGTCTCTAAGGTGCTACTGGAAGGATTTTGTTTGTTTGTTTGTTTCGACTATGGCAGACCAACACGGCTACCTGCCTGTAACTACTCTTATAGATTGTTATACAGGGGTTTTTTTTGGGGGGGGGGGCTAAACCCTATAAATTAATAAATGGTAGGATTTTTATTATTTGGGATGTGAAGGGAGAAAACAAGCTGCAGAGGAATTCTTGAGCTAGCCTTTGCAAAACGTAAAGGGACACGTGTGGCGCAGTGGTCTAAACTACTGAGCCTCTTGGGCTTGCTGATCGGAAAGTCTCCGATCAGCGGTTTGAATCCCCACAATGGAGTGAGCTCCCGTTGCTCTGTCCCAGCTCCTGCCAACCTAGCAGTTTGAAAGCACACCAGTGCAAGTAGATAAATGGGTACAGCTGTGGTGGGAAGGTAAATGGCGTTCCGTGTGCTCTGGCACTTGTCACGGTCCTCTGTGCACTAGTAGTGGTTTAGTCATGCTGGCCACATGACCCGGAAAGATGTCTGTGGACAAAAACCCATCAAGTTGTCTTGATTCTCTTCAACAGTATAATTCA